ATATGAACTTTTGTCTTGAATCTTTTGGATCTGAATATTCATACCACAATTAAGAATAATTACATTGAAATTATGCCAAGTAGCACTCCGCATCAAATTCTGTTTTTATCATTTACCTACTCGAGGACGAGCAGGAATTAAGCTTGGGGATACTTGATACGTCTCCAATGTATCTATAATTTTTTATCGCTCCATGCTATGTTATCTACTGTTTTGGGCAATATTGGGCTTTATTATCCACTTTTATATTATTTTTGGGACTAACCTATTAACCGGAGGCCCAACCCAGAATTGTTGTTTTTTGCCTATTTCGGTGTTTCGAAGAAAAGGATTATCAAACGGAGTCGAAACGGAACGAAATCAACTGGAGAAGTTATTTTTGGAAGGAAAGCTACCGGATGGACTTGGACCCCACGTCAAGAGCCAAGGGAGGTGCTCACGAGGGTGGGGGCGCGCCCCCCTGCCTCGTGGGGCCCCCGAAGCTCCACCGACGTACTTCCTGCACCCATATATACTCATGTACCCTAAAACTTCCAGAACACACAATAGATCGGGAGTTCCGCCGCCAGAAGCCTCCGTAGCCACCGAAAGCCAATCTAGACCCGTTCCGGCGCCCTGCCGGGGGGGATCCTTCTCCGGTGGCCATCTTCATCATCTCGGTGCTCTCCATGACGAGGAGGGAGTAGTTCTCCCTCGGGGCTGAGGGTATGTACCAGTAGCTATGTGTTTGATCTCTCTCTCTCTCGTGTTCTTGATTTGGCACGATCTTGATGTATCGCGAGCTTTGCTATTATAGTTGGATCTTATGTTTCTTCTCCCCCTCTACTCTCTTGTAATGAATTGAGTTTCCCCTTTGAAGTTATCTTATCGGATTGAGTCTTTAAAGATTTGAGAACACTTGATGTATGTCTTGCCGTGCGTATCTGTGGTGACAATGGGATACCACGTGATTCACTTGATGTATGTTTTGGTGACCAACTTGCGAGTTCCACCCATGAACCTATGCATAGGGGTTGGCACACGTTTTCGTCGTGATTCTCCGGTAGAAACTTTGGGGCACTCTTTGAAGTTCTATGTGTTGGTTGAATAGATGAATCTGAGATTGTGTGACGCATATCGTATAATCATACCCACAGATACTTGAGGTGACATTGGAGTATCTAGGTGACATTAGGTTTCTGGTTGATTTTTGTCTTAAGGTGTTATTCTAGTACGAACTCTAGGGTTGTTTGTGACACTTATAGGAATAGCCCAACGGATTGATTGGAAAGAATAACATTGAGGTGGTTTCGTACCCTACCATAATCTCTTCGTTTGTTCTCCGCTATTAGTGACTTTGGAGTGACTCTTTGTTGCATGTTGAGGGATATTTATGTGATCCAATTACGCTATTATTGTTGAGGGAACTTGCGCTAGCGAAAGTATGAACCCTAGGCCTTATTTCCTATCATTGCAATAATGTTTATGCTCAATTTTATCACTTGCTAACTTGCTGTTTTTATATTTTCAGATTACAAAAACTATTATCTACTATCCATACACCACTTGTATCACCATCTCTTCGCCGAACTAGTGCACCTATACAATTTACCATTGTATTGGGTGTGTTGGGGACACAAGAGACTCTTTGTTATTTGGTTGCAGGGTTTCTTGAGAGAGACCATCTTCATCCTACGCCTCCTACGCATTGATAAACCTTAGGTCATCCACTTGAGGAAAATTTGCTACTGTCCTACAAACCTCTGCACTTGGAGGCCCAACAACGTCTACAAGAAGAAGGTTGTGTAGTGGACATCACGATGCCCCCCGTGACGACCCACCCGCATTGGCCGCCGGCCAGGGTGGCGGGAAGGGAGCGGCCGGGGCGGGCGAGAAACCTGGCGGGAAGGAGGGCGCAGCCGGCTGGGGCGGCGTCGGGCGCGGCGGTTGCGGGGCTTGGTCCCCGCGGGTGCCGGCGACGAGGGCGGTGTGGGTCGCCCGAGTCCGTGCCATCCTCATCCAGTGCTCCTCCAGCTTGAGGTACGCCACCACCTTAGCGAAAGTAGACTCCGGGATGAGGGTGAGGTTGGAGGCGGCATTCCCAAAATCCTCGTTGAGATCGGCGTTGAGGGTGCTGACGAGGATCTCGTCGCCAACCGTCTCCCCGAGATCGCGGAGCTCATCGTCGAGCTTTTTCAGGCGCATGCAAAAATCGTCGATGGACGAGTCGAGCTGCTGGCACCCGTAAAACTCGCCGTGGAGAAGGACCTTGCGCTGCAGCTTGTTGTCGGTGAAGAGGCCGTTGAGCTTGGTCCAGACGGCGTAGGCATCGTCGTCGTCATCCACCACGATGTGAAAAAGGTCGGTGGAGATGGTGAGGTAGAACCAACGGGTGATGGTGGCATCAAGGATCATCCACTCCTCGTCATGGATCATGAGGGTCGAATCCACGGTGTCGTCGACGTGGCCATGAAGGAGGTACTCGCGGAACACCAACAAAAAACACCGCTTCCAAGCGGAGTAGGAGGAGGTGGATTGATCCAGTTTCACCGGGACGCGCTCGTGGATGTTGAGGTCGTGGACGAGAGTGACATCGGGTCCGGCGAAAGGATTGGAGACAGTGGAGGAGGAACTCATGGCTAGGGTTAGGGTTTTCGACGCGTGGCGCGGCGCGGGAGGAAGGTGCGGTGCGGGGTTGGGTGGCAGGGTGCGCGGGAGCAGCGCTGGTGGGAGGTGGTCATGGCACGGGAGTGGTGCGGCGTGAGGTGGCGGGAAGGAGCGGAAGCGGGGTGGCGATCGGTGGCGGCAGCGGCTTTGGAGAGGCTGCGGCGGCGGTGGAAGGCGCGGTGGTAGGAGGGGGCGGCGACTAGCGGCGGCGGCGGCGACCGAGGAGGCGGCGGCGGCGGCGGCTAGTGGCGGCAGCGGGGTGAAGCGGCGGCGCGTAGAGGCGTGGCGGCGGTGGCGTCTTAGGATTTAGGATCGTGCTGCGATAGATACCATGTAGAGGGACAAGTTATGGGCTGTGCAATCGCGATGTATTGATCGGTGCACCAGGCATGTATATATAAATACAGACGAGGGCCATAATCTCAACTATACAGAGAAAACAGGAAGTAGTCCCTATACACAATATACACGTACAAAATATAGTCAACACACCACGTGTTGAGAGTTGAAACTCTACAATCGATGAAGTAGGTTCCGTTTTACTGTCATGAATCTGAACTGGAGTAATGGTAGCAGTAGAAGTGTAGATGAGTGTTCGAATTAGTATTTCATCGCACCAATTCAATCCGCCTATCTTCAGTCCATATGCTACAATCTTCAGGACATGATTACTCTGAGAATCATTTGCTCTGTCCAATAACAATATTATGGAAACTAAAATTGCTATCTCATGAAAACATTATAAACAACACATTTCTTTTCAAAGATATGAAAGGAAGTTTTCAATAATCTAGTAATAGAGGTGATAGCCACTTTCATAAAAAAACATATGTAATAATCCCACAGTTTTCACACCACAAGGGCCGGGAAGCGATGCATTGCAACTCATCCAGCAAACTACAAAAATGCATGGGGAGATAGCCAAACAAAATAATTAGCTGTGACGAGATGAGCATTTGTGTGTTATTTGTCACATCTCTTCTCCAAGTTTTGAAAATCTTTCAAATGCGATTCGATTGGCAATTATTTTTCTCGTTATTCCGCAAAAAAGAAAAAAAAACTCGTTAGCTTTGCTTTCTGGGTAGCAGTTGGGCCTGAACGGGCTGGGCTTTCGGGCCTTGGATCGAGCCGGAGCAAGGGTAGCGTCGCATTCACACGTCCACAACCTCACCGCCGCCCTCGGCGCCGGCAGCAGCACGAGCAAACCCCCAGCGCCGCTCTCCTCCCGACCTCCACGCGCCGAACCCGGTGAGTAGAGCTCCGCTTCCACCGCCTGCTTCTTCTCCGCCCAACCAGGTGAGTCAAGAGCTCCGCTTCCACTTCGCCATTGTTAGCGTTCCCGACCACTTCGTGCGTGTGCGATATTCCCCTCCCCCATTTTGTGTGTGCGGTTTACATCTATTCGCCCTCACGGGAGTCCCCGAAATTCTGGTGAATGAAACCCACGAAATCGTCCCAGATCCCCGCCATACGTAAAACCCCCCATAAATCTGTATTACTGTAGATAGAACTGTTCTAATTGCTTTAGCAGTGAGGTTCTAATCTGCAGCGTTGACGAGAGGAACTGGCTACAATGGAGATGGAGGGGAAGAGCAACAGCGTGACCAAGGTGGTCAAGGAAGGAGGAGATGGTCGGCAAGAGGGAGAGGGCACCACGTGGATGGACATCTCTCACATCTTGCAGGTAACTCAAATACTCAATGCGTCAACTGGTGGTTCTTGCGGTTTATATGTTATTGCCCCTGAAACCCTGCAGAGATTCGCCCTCCGATCACCGTTAGATTAAACTTGCTATTTCCTGTCAGCTTTTTTCAGTTTCAGTTTCTAGCTCCAGATTTAGATATATTTTCAGTAGCGGCAATGTCGAAATCTTTGTAGTAGGCTGAAACGTGCATGTTCACGTCGGCCTGGGATGTAGTTTCTAGCTCCAGTTTTGTCCTTGGGCCACTTTGCCAACTTTAGGATCTTGATCTGTTCTGTAATACAAAGAAGAATGAAAAAGCCAAAAAAATTACGCGGCACAAATTCTCTGTTTTCTCTCTGTCGTTCAATTTGTCACTAGGCTATCACGTGCGCATTTCAGTCTCCGATCTAACCATCCCTACACAGTACCCAAATTTTGCTGAAACTCCCATTTTGCTACCACATCTGCAGAGTGCAGACCCATCCACGAAATTGTGCTGTTCTTATACTAGTAACGAACGATGAATTTTTGCTTCTTCGTTGCTAACATGCTAAGAAATTGCTGCCAGCTGGAGGGGAACAGCTGCAGCAATGGTAGCAAGATAAAACAAGGAGGAGAAGGTCAGCAAGAGGGAGAGGACATCGTCAGGAAGCAGCATGCCATTGTCATCATGGGAACCGACGTCTTGGATTGCCCCATCTGCTCTACCCCCCTTAGCCCTCCCATTTTCCAGGTAATCGGTTGTAATTCGTGTATGCTGCCATCACCACAAAAATCATATGGGAACTCTTGCGTTGGTATGTTTTTGTATCAATATGATGAAAAATTAGCTCTCCGATTGTTTGATTTTTTTTTCTTGCAGTGCTCACTCGGGCATTTCCTCTGCTCGGCTTGCCATGACAAGCTCCCTGGAACTGACAGGGCATGCGGCATGTGCTCCAGACCCGTCTTGGACCGCTGCCACGGTGTGGAGCGTATCGTCGGCTCTGTCCTCGTGCCGTGCTCCTACGCTCTCCATGGATGCACTGCCGCAATCCTGTACCACCAAAAGGGGGAACACGAGAAGGTGTGCCTGCACGCTCCGTGCTTCTGCCCAGAGAACGGTTCCGGCTTCGCTAGCACAACAGAGGCGCTCCTAGGCCACTTCACCGCCAAGCACGATTGGCCGATCACGGCGTTCAAATACTATGAACCATTCGATGTGCCCGTGAAAGCCGGTGTGCACATCCTCCACGGCAGCGGTGAAGAGGTAGAAAAAGACAATGATAGCGACCTCTTCCTGCTACATATAGGGTACCCGGATGCCCCGCTGCACAGTGTCTCACTGGTCCGTGTACAGGCACACGCACAGGAGTATGGGGTCGGATGCTCCGTGGGTTTCTCTTGGTTCATGGGACAGTACCAAGTCGCGACACTGGACTTTATCCGAACCTCATCGCTGTCTAATGGGCTGCCGAAATGTAGCTTTTGTATTGTCCCCGAGGTTCGCCGTGGAGGCGGAGGGCCTGTCATGCTCAGCGTCACCATAGGTATCAATACAGAGGAGGACGAAGAAGATGACAACAAGGAGGGCGATGATGACGACAGTCACGTCAAAGTGGGTGAAAACAAGGAGGAGGATGAGGCCAGTCACAAAGCAGATTGAGGCAAGTGGACTGCGGTGCGTGTGAGTCTGACGAACAAGATTAATATTGTTTTGGTGCCTGACGGCAGTAATTAGTTAGTTGAAGGATGTATTTTTTTTTATTTGTAGTTGAAGGATTTGTTGACATAATAGACTTCATATGCGATCTTCGGTTTTAAGCACATTGGCATTGCTTTTTCCATGAAGTGGTCCTCAGTTTGTTATATTACCCGAAACTAGCTTGTTGATCAGTGGTCGATTCAATGCTTAGACAATTTGGATTACTGTTATATGTTAGCTCTGTCTTAAAGAACTTGGAAATGCTAGAACAGTACATAAGCAGTCTGCTGTTAGCATTTGGTAAGATGAGTTTTTATTGCACGACTGTTTCCATTAATCAGAAAATGTTCTGCGTTACCAAAATTTGTGAGTACCATATGTTAGAAATCTCTGGACATAATCTTTTCCTCGAACATTTTTGTTAACAAAAGATCATAGAATTTGGATTGCATATGTATAAAAAACAGTGTTGTTTTTAGCCCATTGGGTTTTTAGCACATTGGCATTGTTGTTACTAATCAGCATAGGAGATGGTCTTTGGACTAGCTTGCTGACCAGGGATCGAATTAGTGCTTAGACCTACTAGATTGGTGTTATATGTTGCCTCTCTGTGTGAAAAGAACTTGGAAATGCTAGAGGAGTACATAAGTAGTCTGCTCTAAACTTTTGGTAAGATGAGTTTTTATTGCACGCAAAGCAGTTTCAATCGGAAAAGATGTTTTGCAGTGTAAAAATTTGTTAGTGCTCCATGTTAAAAAAAACTTTGGAAATACTATTTTTCATAGAACATTTTTTAGAGAAAAACAATAGTATAAAGTTATGTATCAAAACAGTGTTGAGACAAACTTTTTTATCAAGTCAGTTTAATTTTACATATCTTTTCATTGTAGTTCGATCCTATGCTTGGACCAGAGTACTGGTTCCGAATCTTGCCACTGGAGAATTTGGGTGTCTATAATCACTTCTAGAAAGTAGAATCCTGTTAATATCTTTGCAATCAGCATTTAAATAACTTGTTGTAGTTTTTAGCCACTTTACATGAAAAGAAACACGATTGAATACCATATCATCTATATAATCTCAAAGCCAATTTCCTTTTGCATCAATTCAATGATCTATCTGTTCGGTGCAGGCTTTATAATAATCTCTCTAAACACTCAAAGAATAAGTTTAGAAAAAACAAAAAGATCCAAGAAAATTTGGCATGCAGATACTCCCTCCGGTCCTTTTTACACTGCGTGTTAGATTTGTGTCAAGTTAAACTTTGCAAACTTTGACTAATATATACTAAAAAAACATCAAAATATACAATACCAAATATATATATATATATCCATGAAACTAAATTTCGTAATCAATCTAACAATATTGATTTGGCATTGTGAATGTTAATACTTTTTCCTACAAGTTTGGTCAAAGTGGAGATACTTTGACTTCGAGCAAAACATATAGAGAGAAGTCCTTCTATGACACCACTCTTAAATTTGATGCCTTATGTGACACTCTCAACTTTTTGCTTCCTCATGTGACCTCTTGTATAAAATTTATGCCTCACATGACACTGCAGTCGCTTCTGTTAAATCCTTCCGTCACTTTTTACCCACCTGGACCAAACTGCCCTTGTTTGACTTGATCGAGCACCCCCAGCCTTCCTCACGTCACGAGTCGAACAAACCCTGAGCCCGCACCTCACGCATCAGGGCGGAACCCTAGCAGGGGCGGCGCGGCGGCCGAGGGCGCCATGGAGCAAGCGGCGGCTGAAGGAGAACTAGGCGGCACGGTGGCAGAGGGAGGGCAAGGCGGGGCGGCCGAAGGCGGGCCTGGAGGCACGGAGGGCGGGCGACGCGCCAATTTGGGCTGGTCGGCTTGGGCATATTGGCAAGAAGGGTGAGTGCTTCGAGCTTGTACTCTCCAGATGCAGTTTAGTATACTAAAATTTAGTAGCAATGTTTATGTATTTCTCTGTGATTTGCAGGATGGATCCAGAAAAGGCAGTGCAGATGTTGATTCCATATTGTGATCCCTCCAAAGAAGCATATGAGCCTATCGCCGAGGATTGGACAGATGTTCAAGCAGAGAACAACACAAAAGAGGCCGATGATAGTTATCTTTGCAATCCAATCCCAGAGAATGAGCATGTTGGTATTGATGAGTCGAAAATGTATTTGGAGAAAGAACCTATACCTCTAAAATTGGTTCTTTTTTCTGGTAAAGAGAAAGACAAGACCAATGTTCCTGAGGATGAGAGCGAGGATGGGAGCGAGGAGGAGCCTGAAGTAGAGGAGGAGGAGTTGCATGAGCTAGATCATGCCCCAAATACAGAGTATGACCAGCAAGACCCTCCAATGACTGTAGGATCCACATATCCCAATATGGATGTGTTTAAGTTGGCTCTTCCTCAGCATGCAGTCAAACATGACTTTGACTATAACACAGAGAAGAGCACACAACATAGGTTAAGGGCCTATTGTAAAAGAAGAGATGAAGATGATTGCCCATGGAGGATACATGCTTCTACAACAGCTGATAGGCGTACTGTAATGGTAATTGTCTAACTGTACTTATTTCTGAATATATCTTGCATAAATGTTGAGGAGATTTTAGCTTACTTGTATTCCTATTTTGTAGGTGAAAAAAAAACTTTTGACCACGATTGTTCTAGTACTAAAAGGAAAAAGAAAGTGAAGAACGCAAATAAGTTCTGGATATGTGAGAAGGTGAAAGATTGGCTCATTGAAGATGCAACTCTAGGAGCAATGGAATTGCGAAAAAAGCTGAAAGAACACTACAATATCAAAATCCACTACAAGAGAGCCTATATGGATAAGCTGCTAGCCTTGAAGCAACTATACAGTGATTGGGATGGTAGTTTTAACAACTTGTATAGGTTTAAAGCACAAGTTGAAAGTTGCTGCCCTAATAGCATAGTGCAGATCGACCATCATACCATAAATGGTAAAATAAGGTTTAGAAGATTTTTTTTTGTTGCTCTCAAACCTTGCATAGATGGATTTCTTAGTGGCTGCAGGCCATATTTGGCTGTGGACAGCACCTTTATGACAGGCAGATTGAAGGGGCAATTGGCTAGTGCTATTGCAGTGGATGGCCATAATTGGATGTATCCAGTTTGTTTTGAAATTTTTGACTCTGAAACAAATGAAAATTGGATCTGGTTCATGCAATTGCTAAGACATGCCATAGGATCACCAACAGGTTTAGCCATATGCACTGATGCTGGCCAAGCAGTGATGACAGGGGTAAAAGAAGTGTTCCCAGAGGCAGAACATATAGAATGTATGTTCCACTTGGTGAGCAACTTCAAGAAGATGTTTACTGGAAAAGTATTTGATGACCACCTATGGGCAGCTGCTTACTCATGGAACCCATATATATTTGACAAGAATTGGGGTGCAATGGAGGCAATAAAGCCAGCCGCAACAACATATATTAGAAAGTGGCACGATAGGTTGTGGTCTAGGAGTCAGTTCTCGACCATATGCAAGGTGGACTATGTAACCAACAACTTGGCGGAGTGCTTTAACAATTGGATCAAGCACCACAAGTCATTGAACTTGGACGATTTCTTGGACAAGGCGAGGCAGCTGATTATGATCTTGTGGAATGATAGGAGAAAAGTAGCAAAGAAGTTAGATGGATTGATTCTACCCCACATGATGAAGTGAAACGCATTGACTAGAGAATTCAACTTGGAGGTGGTAGAATGCTTAGAAGAAGTGGCTGAAGTGGTTGCATTAGGAGGCGGCGGTTTTAGGTTTGCCGTTAACTTGCAAGATCGAACATGTTCATGTCGACAATGGCAAGTTTGTGGTCTTCCTTGCAAACATGCTCTTGCATTCATCACGTCACTTAGCAATGCTCACATAAAGAATTACGTTGATTTGTATTATTCCACTGAAAAATTCAGAGCAGCCTATTCCAACATGATCCCTGCTATGCCTGACAAGAGCCAATGGCTTGAATCTAACCATGGATTTTTCATGCATCCACCACTACTTAAAGCTACAGCTGGCAAGCCTAAAACTGAGAGATATAAAGGTTTTAGTGACAAGAAAAGAGAAAAGGGCAAGCACTTATGTCCAATTTGTAAGGAATATGGGCATCATTGTCACAACTGTAAGAAGGGTAACCCTGATGACATGGCTGCAATGTTGGCTATTAGGTAATATATATTACTCTTTCTTGCTTCTCTTATTATTTTTGTTTGCAACTACATGTGTTAACTACTTTTCCTATTGCTCATGTAAAGAACCACCAAAGAAGAGGGCAAAGACTAGCAAAACAGCACAGTCCATTGTGCCTTGCGAGGATGGAGAACCAACAAGGATGCCTTTTCCACCACCAAGGTTAGCACTTATACACTTCTGCCAATGAGTATGAAAACTCAGTTTATGTTCTAAGTTGTTTCTTTCTCATCATAGCCAAAGCATGGAACTACAACTAAGAAAAAGAGAAAACATGACAACACTGAATCTGGAGGTTCAAAGAGGTACTTTTCTGTATTACTTGCTGCCATAAACTTGCTGTATTATGCTGCTGCCATAAACTTGCTGCTCTAAACTTACTGCTGCCATAAACTTGCTGCTGTCATTACTGCAATAAACTTGCTACTGCCATAAACTTTATGTTGTCATTACTGCCCTAAACTTACTGTTGCCATACACACATGTGCAGATCAAAAACTGGCTCCATTGAGAAGGACACGACGAAAAAGAAGGTTGCTGAGAAGATTTCGGTGCCACTTGACAGCCCAGCAATGGGCACAAGGAGCAGAAAGTTTAATCCTCCTAGCCTTGCTATGAGCACAAGAAGCAAAAGAAGGCTCAACTTGTAATTTCATATGCTTCTATGCTCTTCCATTGATGTAATGGTTCTTTTGGAGTTCGTGTGATATGATGGTTCTTTTGGAAGTCCTTTAGCCTGACATATGTGAACTATTGATG